ACTCTCCATAGGCGTAATGGTTTTTATACTGTACAAACCGTATATCGCCCTACTGTACACCAACCCTACACCTAAACCTACCCCTTACAGAAAACTTTGTGCTTTGTTAGATTTTCAAAAAACAAACAAAAAAAAAAAACATTCATAAACCTATTGAATAATGGGAACACCGAAAGTGTCCTCATAAATCACCTTCATGTTGTAATACCTATGTCATACCCATGTCATTATACAAATTTGTGTCCTCATAAACCATATAAACATGCACACACATATACATGCATATGTATACATAGGCCTATAAAACATGCCTCCAACTTAAGTGACGTCAAAAAATAACATTCATTGCAGACAGTTTCTTTATATAATTTATTTCAAATACAAACAGTTTCAATGTAGAACTCAAATCAAAAGTGTTACTAAAATGTAGCATATAAAAATATTTTTATCATTGTTGTAGTAACCCCATAAATCACTGGTTCAGAAAACAAATGAATGTCACCACGCGGTGGCACTGTCCTATTATAAACTCGCAGTCTTTTACTGAAGCGTAACAGATTCAACAGATTCATTTAAATCAGGCTGTGCGATAAGGCTAGGAAAGAAAATAGAGCAAGGAGTGTGTTTGGTCTGCTCTCTATGCTTTATATCATTAGGAGATATCATATAGTTAGTGTTTGCTTTGTCCTTGCAATGCATTCAATACAAGCTGACAGACGCTTCACGAGTCCTGGATGGAGGTGCGTTCGCAAAAGAATTGTAGAGAGTGATTCAAAATGCTTTTGCATCACGTTTTCCACTGGAGAGTAAATAATCCCAACTGTTCTTTTTAGAGACAAATCTCGAGAACAACAGAAGCTACAATGTTAATCTTCAGAGTTTACAGGCAGTGTTGGGGAAAGTAAAGCATTACAATATTGCGTTACTCCCTAAAAAGTTACTAATTAGTTACTTTTTTATGGAAAGTAGTGTGTTACGTTACTTTTGAGTTACTTTTTAAATCTGGGTAGGGCTTGCTTGAAACGGATTTCACAGCAAATGATCTAATTTTCAGCAGTAAGAAAAAAAGCTTGTTGTTTTGTAGAAAATCACAGTTATACTGTATATGATATGAGAACAGTAGGGCCTGTAGATAGGGAGTACGTGTTATTTAATAAAAATATAATTATATTTTCAGAATGACATAATTTTTTTCCAAAACATAGTCAGTGGGGTAAAACCCACGCCCCCAGCCAGGTGAGCTAAAACGCCCCCAGTGGGCAATGGACAATTACTGTAGTTATTCTGTTCTGAACATCAAATCCATTGTTTTTCCATCAAATGTATTCTACCTAGTTGGTTGAATCAAAATATTTGGACTTTATATTTAAAAATTACCTCAAGTTAGCATCAGGTAGCTAGTTAGCTGGCCAGTTAGCGTCAGCTAACAATTATAATTTTGCAATCCATAATTATTAATTATATTATTTTTTATTTTAAGCTAAAACTGCATGCACTCTGATCTTGCTGTAAATGTTTAAAGCAAATTGCTTTGTCAGACTGGGGGGAATTTTACCCCTACCATGGGGGCGTTTTGCCCCAAAGTTGGGGTAAAACAACCCCTTGGTACAAATTTTTGTTAAAAATCTAATAACATGAAAACTCTGGACATTTTTCATACTTGGTTTATAATTTATGTCAGTGTCACTAAAACGATGATAACTTTTCTGAACACATTTAACATTTGTTTTACAGAAAAAAATTACACAGTCCTTAACTGCTAGAGCGCCAAAAGTTACATAGTGCTGCTTTAAATGTGCAAGGCTTCCGGTCTCATCCGCTTTAGCTGTACAACAACAGTCCGATATGCTGCTCGGCATTGCAAACTGGTATTTATTGTTATATAAGCTACGTTTAATTTATTATCGTAGTCATGAACACATTGGTTTGTAAAGCAAATTACATGATAAAAACTGTAATCTAGATTACATATTGTAGGTAATCTGACTACTTTTTAGATTACTTTTGGATTACTTTAAAAATATAAAAAATATATTTGATATAAAAAAGCAAAGAGAAAGAAAATACATTTCATTTTTTGATATAAACATTAAGCATTAAACCATTGGTCTCAAACTCAATTCCTGGAGGGCCACAGCTCTGCACAGTTTAGCTCCAGCTCTAATCAAACACACCTGATCCAGCTAATTAATCTTAGTCTTCAGGGTCACTAGATACTTCCAAGCAGGTGTGAGTTGGAGCTGGTTGGAGCTAATTACTAATTAAATCATAAAAATGTCAAATTATTTAAACACTTGAACACTAAAAAACAGAAATATGTAATTTGTTTACCTGCATGTCAATGTTACCATTAAGTGGCATTGAACAGTAAACATGCCAAGTGTTTTTAATTATTGAAATACATTCAAAGTTATTTACACAACATTTGTGAATATAGTTAAAGCTAAGGAAAAAGGAAGAATTAGAAAGAATCAATAATTTATGAATGATTGTGTGAATAACATGTAATCATGTAATCCATTAAAAAGTAACTGTAATCTAATTACGAGCATTATGTAATATACTCTTAATTACGAGTTCTTGATTCTTGGAATTTGATTACATAATCCAGATTACATGTAATCAGTTACTACCCAGCTCTGCTGCTCAAACTTCACACAAATAGTAGCTTACTTCCACATTGCAAAATAAAGTAATGCTTCTGTGGAATCATTTGTAAAATCCAGTAACACAAGGACAATAAATTGTAACTCACAACAAACAATCCATCAGGTCAATTTTTCTTAGTCATTAAAGGGAAAGTAAGTTTGGCAGCCTCATATTAGAAATATGTAGATAGGCTAGGTCTAGATGGTCAACTAGTGAAGTAAGCACTCGACTAGTCGATTAATCGGTTTGAACCATTATGCTGTAACTGTGTGAATATTATCGGATGGCCTGGGCCTTCTTCTGCGGCACGTCTTCATGATATTTACATCGTAGATAGCGAGCGAAGGCTTGTCGATAAATCTCGTTGAAAAGGGTGTAGATCAGAGGATTCACTCCAGAGGAGATATATCCCACCCAGACAAAAAAGTGAATGAGGTTATAGAGATGCTCGCTGCAGTTGTCCTGACAGACGGCGATCAGCACATTGGTGATGAAGAACGGACACCACATGACCAGGAAGAGAAAAAACACAATCCCCAAGACTTTGGAGGCTCGTTGCTCATTGTTCAAAGCTTGAATCATGCCTCGTCTGCCTTGGCCTCGTGGACCTTGTGCAGACTTGTTAGTGGAGGACTTACTGTTAAGCAGACTCGTGTCACTTGTCTGCACAGAAGAACGTTTGGAGTGGCTCTTGCTCTCTTGCGGGAAGGAAGCGCTGTGCCTCTGGAGATCACGGAGAGTGAGGTAATAGCAGACCACCATGATGACCAGAGGAACGAAGAAGGCCACGGATGAGCCAACAAGGACGAACCGAGGCTCGTTCAGGGTGCAGGTGCCGTTCACAAACACCTTCTGCTTGTCCTGGAAACCCAGTACTGGAATGGGCAGCGACAACACTGGAAGAAACAAAGCAAGAAGAATGAAGGATCAGCTCAGAAAGCATGTTTTAATCCATCGCATCCCACCGGTTACATTAGTGACCGAAATTTAGTTTGGAGGGAATTTGAAGTATTTTATGCAGAATTTTAAACTAAATGAAAGTGGAGACTGTCGTGATTTCATGTGTGAAGAGTAAACCCACTGAAAGCCTGACCCACTGAAAAAAGTCAAAGCTGACAGATACAATTTAATACATATAATGGTCTGTTATTGATTTATAACACATAACCATGTAAGTGAGTTTCATTATAAAACTGCTGATTTCAAAATGTTAAATAAAGCTTAAAAATTTATTCTTGGTTTATCAATGTCATTTTCCCTCACAGTTAGCAAAAATATTAAATTATGCTATATTATTTTTTGGTCAATTTGTTAGTGCACTCTAAAAAATGCTGGGTTAAATATAACCCAGCACTGGGTTAAAAATAACCCAGCACTGGGTTAAAAAGGGACAAACCCAGCTATTGGGTTGTTTTGACCCAGCGGTTGGGTT